GATGGTCACCCCAAAATTGGAATCAAAGGCCCCAAAGCCACATCTAAAGTATGCTTTCCTCAGCGAACCCTAGGCCAGTCACCATGACCTGGTCAAATGGTCCCCGTGGTTCCACTCATCCATTCCACATGGACCCCAGTTCTCAACATCTCACCCCAATTCCCAACACACTTCCACAAGGCAACCTGAGTCAACCCTAAAGCAAACATACACAGGCTGCCAAACTTGGGTCACCTTCAAGTACCCTAAACTTGGCATCTGGGTCTCCAGACTCACCATCCCAAGACTAGTCGTGAAACAGCACAGGAAATCACTGTCAACACAAATGTATCAGTTACCCCCCCCCCCCCCCCCAGAACCTGGCAGAAGACATTCTAGTTACCTCCAAATTCAGCATCTTTTTTTCGTTTTTCTTTTCTGAGTCAGAGTATCGGTATGTAGCAGACCACATTGGCCTTGGACGGATCCTCCATCTCCTAAATAGCTGGGATTTACAGGCATGCTTCACCACACCTAGCCAAGGCCAGCATGTTCAACCCCAGCATTCCCCCACCTCAAAGCAGGAACCAGCAAGTGAGGGCATCTCAACCATCCTGACCACCTACCCATCCCCCAAGCGAGAGGACTGTACTATACCAGATGAAAGCAGGGGAGCCGGCACTGGTGGCTCACGCCTGTAACCCTAGCTACTCAGGAGGCTGAGATCTGAGGATGGCCGTTCAAAGTCAGCCTGGGCAGGAAAATTCTGTGAGACTCTCCAGTAAACCATCAGAAAACTGGAAGTGGACCTATGGCCTTGAGCTGACAGCGCCCAGGCCCAGAGTTCAAGCCCCACGACCAACAACAACAACCCCAGGCTTTGGAGCCTGGGGGTGGGAGTGGGGTGGGCAGGCAGACCGCTAATAGCTAACTGGGGCCTACTCAGAATCCCCAGGCATGGCCTGGGAATGTGGCTTAATGGTAGAGTGCTTGCCTAGCATGTATGAAGCTCTGGGTTCGATTCCTCAGTACCACATACATAGAAAAAGCCTGAAGTGGCGCTGTGGCTCAAGTGGTATAATGCTAGTCTTGAGCAAAAGAAGCTCAGAGACATCGTCCAGGCTCTGAGTTCAAGCCCCAGTACTGGCAAAAAAAAAAAAAAAAATCCCCAGGCAGAGCAATGTAAACTAAAGAGTCTCTTCATCAGATGGAACTAGGAGCCTGGGAACAGTGACACATAGACTAACAATCAAGTTCTGCTACCGGTGACCCCCCTAAATTAGGATGGAGACCTTGGTTCCAAATAGACTCAGTAAACCTGATTCAGCCTCAGGTCCCCCAGGTTTCCAGCCTGCTTTGGTCTCCCAGGAAGAGGCACTCTCCCTGGGGAACGTCTGGAGGACATACTTGTCTGCCCTCTGGTGGTCACTGCTGGAAGAGCAGCACCTTCGATGGCTCTCCAGGCTCCAATGACTTAAATTGGGGGGGAGGGGGGGAGAGGAGGGGGATGTCCTTGTCTGTCTCCTTACTCCCTGAGTTCCCACTGAAGTCATCTGACCTCACTCAGGTCCCTCCTCTTCCTGCCTCATACCTCTGCCTCATCTTCCTCAGATTAGATCCTCTCAGATGCAGTCCATTCCCCACAAGTCCCCAGAAGGCTACTTTCCTTTTCTTTTTTTCTCCTTAGTCCTGGGACTTGAACTCAAGGCCTGGGCACTGTCCCTGAGCTTTCTTTGCTCTTGAGACACAGCTCCATTTCAGGCTTTTTGGGTGGTTAATTGCTCAAGCTGGCTTCAGACCTCAATCTTCAGATCTCAGCCTCCTGAATAGCTAGGATTACAGGCATGCACCACTAGTGCCTGGCTGGTCTCTCTCTCTCTCTTTCTTTTTTTCTTTTTAAAGCTAAAATCCAAAGACCTCATCAGGCTGTACAGGTTCTGTGGGATCTAGTCCTCAGTGTTATCTAAGGTTGTTCGCCTCATTCTACCAAGGACACAAGCCATCCTGTCATTAGCAGGCCAGACCTCAGTGCCTTTGCACTTGCTCTTCTCTCTGGAATATGTATCCTTAGACCTTCATCAGTTGGGCCTCAAATCCCAGCATGACCCGTCTCTCCACTCCAGAGGGGGCTCCCCTGCTTGTTGTTGTTGTTTTCAGGCAGAGGAGTGTATTGGGGGGTAGAGCAAACTGCTGGCTCGCAGGAGATGGAGGCGTGCGGAGAGAGGGGAAGGGAAAAGAAGAGCAGGTACATCTGGATTCATGGCTGTTGACTTCCATGTTCTATGGTGTCACATCTTTCGAAGATTAAAAAAAAAAAGTGAAATGAATCATGTATCCAAACTTGTATCCTGCCAGCACAGTCAACGTAAAAATAGTTACTGAAGCCAGGCGCCAGTGGCTCACGCCTGTCATCCTAGCTACTCAGAAGCTTGAGATCTTAGGATCGCGGTTCAAAGCCAGCCAGGGCAGGGAAGTCTGTGAGACTCTTATCTCCAATGAACCATCAGAAAACCAGAAGTGGCGCTGTGCCTCAAGTGGTAGAGCACTGGCTTTGAGCTGAAGAGCTGAGGGACAGCGCCCAGGCCCAGAGTTCAAGCCCCACGACCAACAATAAATAAATAAATAGGGGTTAATGAGGATGCCACTCCCTTTTCATAGAGTCTCTGAACAACCTGCTGTGATTTGCACTCAGCACAGCTCCTAGTGGACGGCTGGGCCTCCCATGCGGCCCTGCCACCGGGGCTGGAGATGGAATTCCCGGGCAATGCCAGTGTTTGGAGAGGCCTCAATAAACATGGCTGGCTGGTGTGGCAGCCATGCATGGGGAGCTTTGGTGATGAGATGGAGGTGGAAGGCTGGGGCCACAGTGCCAGGCCTTGCAAGAGAACACCCTCAACTCTTCCTGTGGCTGGTTCTGGATCCCAGAAACAGAGCTCATGGAGGCCTCCCCCACCCTCCCCCCAGTCCCCTCTAGCACAGCTTCCCAGCCTCCATCTGGCACTTCCTCCGCCCACCCTTGCTCCCTACATTTTGCCCAGCCAGTCACGTTGGTGCCAGTGTTCCCACAGGGTGAACCTGCATCATCTCAACAAATAGCCAATTACACCAGGTGTGGTGGTGCATGCCTGTAATACCAACGCTTGGGAAGCAGAGGCAGGATTGAGTGCTTGAGGCCAGTTTCTGGGCTGCATAGCAAAACTCTTGCTTTGAAAAACCACAGGCAGAAGCACAATTGTGCCCTCTCTCTCTCTCTCTCTCTCTCTCTCTCTCTCCTGACACCTCCTCTACTCCTCTTCCTCAGTTCAGGTCTACTCTGTGTCACCTTGGGGGCTGCATCCTCTTTTGTGTTTGGTGGTGGTATTGGGGTTATGAACTTGGGTCCTCAATGGTTGCTAAGCAAACACTCTTACCACTGAGCCATGGCTCCAGCCTCAATCTTGGCTGGTTATTTTATTTTTTTATTTTTTTCTTTTTGTTGGTCGTGGGGCTTGAACTCTGGGCCTGGGCGCTGTCCCTCAGCTCTTCAGCTCAAGGCGAGTGCTCTACTACTTGAGCTACAGCGCCACTTCCGGTTTTCTGATGGTTTATTGGAGATAGGAGTCTCACGGTCTTTCCTGCCCAGGCTGGCTTTGAACCGCGATCCTCAGATCTCAGCCTCTTGAGTAGCTAGGATTACAGGCGTGAGCCACCAGCGCCCGGCTGGCTGGTTATTTTTGAGATAAGTCTTGCTCCCTGCCTTGGTTTGCATCTGGGAAGGAACACATTAGGCTTTCCTGTCGCTAGGATGATGAGTGCTAAGCCATTGTGTCTGTCTGGTTCTTGAGAAGGGGGCCTGGTGAAGACTGTAGCCCAGGCTGGCCTCCAACTGTGAACCTCCCATTCTAGTGGCTAGGATTACAATTGACAGGGGAGAGCTATAGACGCTGGCTTTGAGCCACCATCCTCAGATCTCAGTCTCCTGAGTAGCTCAGATGATAGATGCAAGCAAGCCACCGGTGCCCGGCTTGGCCACCCTCTTTAAGGTGGAAATCACTCCGGGACTCTCCCTGAGCAGAGAAGGCCTCGAGCAGCAGCATGAGGCTGCCATCCTTAGGGAAGTGTCCTCCAGTGGGCCCTTGGCTCACATGCAGGGACTCAGTGGGCCTTCAGGCCCTGGTCAGCGACTCACGGTGTCTAGACTGGTGTGAATGCATGCTTTCTATTCTTCAGCTAGGTCTCATGCTGTTGCCTGGTCCAGCTTTGGACCATCATCTTCCCGTCTTCCTTCCCAAGTGGTTGGACCAGGCTTGCCTGCAAACAGCATTCTTCACCCAGAGCCGAGTCTGGAATTGTGGTCCATGGAGGGTGTGTGGGTGTGTACGTGGCCCCTCCCCCGGAGCGGCTATGGATGGTTCCCACCGGTTGTCACTGCTCACTGCTAGAAGTCGGCCGTCCTGGGTGACAGCACTGGGAGACTGCAAAGCTGGCTTCTGGCTTGCTCTTAACCTGCATGCCTCCCTCTACCTCACCCCTCCCTCCTACCACCCCACCCCTTCTCCTCTTGCTGTTTCTGCTTCATCTCTTCATGGTGGATCACAATGGAGAACAAGTCACCGCAGCTCATCCTGGAAGGTGGGGTTGGACTCGGGGCCCTGACCCCCTCTCCTCTGCTCTCCTTAGCGCTGGCACCACTTGACAGCAGGGCTTTCTGGGTGGTGCTGGGGATTGCACCCAGGGCCTAGAGCTTGCTAGGCAGGTGCTCTACCACTTGAGCCACACTTTCATTTTTTTTCATAGAAGGGTACTCACTTTTGCCTGGACTGGACTTAAGACAATGAGCCTCGTATCTCTGCCAATCTCTGCTTCCTGAGTAGCTGGGATTACAGGTGTGAGCCACCACACCTGGACCACCTATGACATTCTGCTCACAAGTCCTGTTGACTGTCTTTCCCACTTCTTGGGTCCCCGTCTTTGCCTCTGGCATGCATACCATCCCCCCCCCCCCACAGACTCACAGAAGACTCCGGAAAGAGTGCTCGGAATGAACGACAACAGTAACAACTTTATTTCCACAGGCGGACCCCCCCTGGGCTAGCGGTGTGGGGGGCACCTGTGGCTGGGGCACGGGGCATGCAGGACGGGTGGCCAGGGGTAGCACCCTCCCCCCCCCGGAGGGACGTAGGCCTTGAAAGACGCCTCACACGGGTTCCATCTGCAGCTCCTCCCCCTCTGCAGGCTCGATATGATGGAAGGCGGCGTGGGAGCCGATGAGCACCAGGGTGGCTCCTGCCCCCAAATGGACAGTTCAAGGCCACACCCCTCCTTCTGTCCCCCACTGCCCAGTCCTGCCCCCCGACCCTGTACTCACCCAGGACCCAGAAGACCGCGGAGCCCGCACCAGCCAGCCAGAAGAAGGGGAAGGAGACGCCTCCGGCCAGAGCGTACTGATGGGCTGGGCTCACCTCTCGGCCTAGGGACACACGCATGGCACACCTGTCCCCCTTGTGGCCCTTCCTGGGTACCCTTGCCTCCGCCCCACGCATCTGGTGACTATGCAAGGCCCTTCACAGCGCAGTCCCTCCTACTCTTCCTCGTCCCCTCCAGCCGGCACTCAGACACAGGCCAAGTCTCCATGTGGAGGCCCCCAGGGCCTGCGTCCTTGTTTCACAAGACTTTAGTTTGTGGCTGACCAATTATTTCTTATACAAATACAGATTTCTGTGCTTCCAGGCTTCTCCCACCCTGCCTGCTTCTGTTCGCACAACTTGCAGGATCTGAAGGACCTTGACTGGTCTCAACTCCCTGGAATTTCCCCCAGCATTTTCCTCCAAGTGGCCCTCGGCACCAGGCTGGGGTCACAGGAGTCTAGGCCTTTCCTTCCCCACTCTCCTGGCTTTCTATCCTGGTCCCAGCCCCAGGAAGCAGGAGGTGGGTGACAGAGCTAGGCCTGTATAAGGCCGCCATCTGCTGTCCACGATGGGAAACTGCAGCTGATGCTTGCTGCAGAAGTTAGAGCAAGAGAGGTAGAGACCAAAGTGCCATGAGTTTTTGGGTATTTCACTCCGGAGAAGAGCCATTTGGGGAGGGGGTGGAGCTAAGCCTGGATGAGCGTAGGTGGAAGATCTGAGATCTTAAGGCTCAAGATTGCTGGTTGTAGTGTATACCCGGGCCCTGGCAGGCTTGGGTTTGGGATTGTAGGGACCTGAGAGCTGTCCAGACCCGGATGTCTTACCAAAGAGTACAAGCTTGGACTGCAGTGTGCGCAGGTAGAGGATGTAGCAGGCGCCAAAGAAGACGGCCAGGGCAACCAGCAGCATGGGGGACGTGACCCTGGGGGGATAGGGCGGGGATCAGGCACCTAGTGCCCAGCCAACCCGAGGACCCCAGGAAGTCCAAATCACATCTGGCCACCCTGAATTCTAGCCAGAAAGTATAGACCTGGCCCTCTGGTGACAAGCTCTGGCAGCATTAACCCTCCCCCAGGGGAGGGGCTTGGGGCAGAGGGGGTTGGGCAGGGCTATGGGATGGGGCCTCGAGAGGACTGGGGGGGGGGGGGACTGGGGCTAGGCGGGTCCAGGGATAGCCTGGGGAATGGAGGGGGCCTCTGGAGGAGCCAGGGGGCGGAGCCTGGACACGGAATACGGGTTAGGGTGGGGCCTCTGGTGGGGGAATGGGTTGAGGGTGTCAGGGATTGTGGGGCGTGGCCAAGATGCGGGGGAGGAGCCTGTCTGCGGGACTGTGGCTGGACGGGCGTGGCCTCTGGCTGAGCCAGGCGCGGGGGGCGTGGCCTGACGCCGAGTGGAGGGCGGGGTCTGGGGCGGAGCCAGGGGACGGGGCGGGGCCTGTTCGCGGAACTGGGGTGGGGCGGGGCGGGCCGGCCCGCGCGGCGAGCGCAGGGCTGCGGGCACTCACACGCAGTACACGATGAGGCCCAGGAACACGAACACGTAGTTGCTCTGGTAATACTCCACATTGCGTACCAGGCGCTGGCACAGCTCACCCAGGTTGCGGGGACGTGAGAACCGATTCTGGTCCACGAAGGTGCCCCAGGGCCGGATGGTCGCGCGGCGTCGCTCCAGCCACTCCCGGCCCACGCCGGAGGGAATCAGCTTGGGCAGCAGGGTCCTGGCGGGCGGGGCCGGGTCAGCGGCAGGCCGGGATGGGGGCTCGCACCCGAGGGGGACGTGCGGGGAGGAGGGTCCCAGGAGGGAGCCAAGGGTTCTGGACCCCGAGGTGTGAGGGGGCCCGGGGATCCCGCGCCTTGGGTCGTGGGTGGGGGAAGTAGGGCAGCTAGCTCACGCGGCGCTCAGCCCTTCCGCCTCAGCATCCTTCTGCTGGTCCTTCTGAGCCGCCATGTCTGCGTCAGGAGGGGTAGAGCCGCTGTAACCCGCCCCGAGTCCCGCCGACTCTGCCGGCTCCGCCCGAGCCTGCTCCAGCCCGGCGGAGCCGACGTGGCGACGCTCCGAGCCACAGGAGGCGGTAGTTGTGCCGTCGAGCATTGTGGGAATTGTAGTCCTGACGGCGTCCGGAAGGGTGGGCATCATCATGGCGGCCTGGCTCGCAAGACACCTTGGGAGATGTAGTCCGGAAAGGCGGTGAAGGCCTTTGAGCATTGCGGGAGTTGTAGTTTAGGGGGCGGGGGGGGGGGGCGGGCGGCGGGTCGGGTGGTGGTGGTAGAGTCCGACAAGCTGGCTGTCAAGAGTGAGGACGTTGAGGGCTCTAATGGCAGATGCAGGTGTTGTATACTCTCCTGTGGAGGATGTAATGGGAACTGCAAAGCTGTCATACTAGGATGCATAAAAGACACTGGGCCAGGTGGCTGGTGGCTCACACCTGTAATCCTAGCTACCCAGGAGGCTGAGATCTGAGGATGGCAGTTCAAAGACAGCCCAGGCAGGAAATTAATTAACCACCAGAAATCGGGAAGTGGAGCTGTGGCTCAAAGTGGTAGAGTGCTAGCCTCGACCAAAAGAGCTCAGGGACAGAACTTAGGCCCTGAATTCAAGCCCCACAAACGCCAAAAAAAAAAAAAAAAGACACTGGATGAGTTGGGTGTGGTGTCTCATACCTGTAATCCCTACTACTCAGGAGGTAGAGACAAAACGAATGCAAGCAGGGCTAGGCAGGGCACACCTGTCATCTCTGCTACACCAGAGGCTTAAATAGGAAAATGGTGACCTAGGCAGGCCCAAGCATAAACAGAACTTGTTTGGAAAATAAAACAAAAATGTCTGGAGGGTGTGGCTTAAGTGGTAGAGTACTTGCCTAGAAAGTGCGAGACCCTCAGTTCAAACCCCAGTACCCCAAAAACCCACACAAAGCTAGCACTTGAGTTCAGGGTGGTGGGAGTGTAGCGGTGACTAGCTGAGCAGCCACCCCAGGAGTGAGGAATTGTGGGAACTGGGCTGGAGGCAAAGCCTCAGTGGCCTCTTCCTATGCCAGCTTGGAGAAGCTGAGCTCAGTTTCCTGATGAGAACAGAACGAAAGCTTTTTGTCCCGTGACCTGCCAGGGGCATGACTTGGGGGGACAGCTGCTGTGGAGTTGGGCTTTATGGGAGTGGGAAGAGGAATTTGGGGAGTCGAGGTGTAGGCATGGAGCAATTGGGAAAGGAGACCTTTGAGACAGGGATATGGGAGAGAGGACCCTAAAATGGTGACATGGAGGGGTAGGGACATTTGGGGCTCCTGAGAGAGAAGTCCCTGGCACATAGGTCTTGAGTTAGGGCTGGTGTTGGGAGAGGAGGAGCACCTGAGGAGATCGTGGCTGATGGTTGCTGAGCCCCCTCCAGCCTGAGGCCTCCTTCCTCCACGAAGAGAGTGGAGCTGGCAGGGCAGGAAGATGGGTGACAGTGTTGGCTGTGTGACCCGGAAGTCCCTCCCTGCTGGGCCTTGGGCCTCCCATCTGTCTAAGGGAGTGTTTTCCCCCTGACAAGGGATAGATGAAGCATATCCATGGGTGATCCACAGTAGTCCAGGCTCACACAGCCCTTTCTGGGACCAGCTCTGTTCTGGGATCACCAGGGGTCCCAGCACAAGGCCCTGCTGTCTTGTACACTGGCACACATACACTGGCATGCCCACATGAGTCCTGGGGTGTCAGGCAGGCCTAGGATCCCTCCTCCAATTTATACCCAGGGCTGTGTGCGTGAGAAGGGCAGCCTTAAGCTCTTAGCTGCCCACCGGAATGGCTAAGGGTAAAAGACTTGGCAACACCAAGTGGTGGCGGAGATCTGCAGCCATGGGGTTCTTCAAAGCATTGCTGGATGTCAATGCTACAACTGCCAGAGCCTTGGCTCTCTTAGTTCCCATTAAAGCTCAACAGCCTAAAGCTAGGCCTGCACGATAGTGCATGCCTGTAGCACCAGCTACTAGGGAGGTAAAAATGGTAGGATTGTGGTCCCAGTAATGAAAGTGCAAGACCCTATCTTGAACAAACTAAAGAAGACAAAAAGAGGCTACGGGCTAAAGTGCAAGAGTACACGTGCAAGTGCGGTGTTCAAATCCCAGGATTGCCAAAATGTTGAAATGAAGAACAGATAGAAGCCGGTGCTGTTGGCTCACGCCTGCAATCCTGGTGACTCAGGAAGCTGAGGTTTGAGGATCGCAGTTCTGAAGCCAGCCCAGGCAGGAAAGTTCTTGAGACTCTTATCTCCAAATAACCACCTGACAACTGCAAATGGTGCAGTGGCTCAAAGTGATAAGAGGGCTAGCCTAGAGCAGAAAAGCTCAGGAGCAGCTCTGAGGCCCTGAGTTCAAGCCTCAGACCAGAAAAAGAAGAAAAAGGAGTAGCTAGCACTAACTCTTATGGTGACAGCATCAGCTGTCTGTGGAAGCACAAGAGGAAAGAGGAGGATGGAACTTTCTGGGTTGATGAAAATGTTCTATACCTTGGTCTGGATGACGGCTGAACGGATTTTATGTTATTGGAGATCAGGCTGTCTCACGTGCCCGACCATAGCTGTACCACTGAGTTCCATCCCCAGCCATGGATATAATTTTTTTTTTTTTTTTTTTTTGTCGGTCGTGGGTCTTGAACTCTGGGCCTGGGCACTGTCCCTCAGCTCTTCAGCTCAAGGCGAGCGCTCTACCACTTGAGCTACAGCGCCACTTCCAGTTTCCTGGTGGTTTATTGGAGATAAGAGTCTCACGGTCTCTCCTGCCCGGGCTGGCTTTGAACCGCGATCCTCAGATCTCAGCCTCCTGAGTAGCTAGGATTACAGGCGTGAGCCACCAGCGCCCGGCTTTCATGGATATAATTTTTAACAACCCCAATCTGCATCTTGTGTGTGTCCTGGGGTGCAAGTCACTAACACAGAGACGGCGAGCTTGGATAGCCTCACGGCCAAAGTGCAGATTTGTCATGAGCAGTCAGTCACGTTCCCCGGCCCTGGGCCTCACATGCCGTGAGATTCAAGGAGCCAGGGGACAGGCAGAGTACTTAAAAGGGCCTCCAGGGGTCACTATAGTTACCATATTGAAGGCATGGCCTCCCTGGGGGTGCTGCACAGGAGGAGATCCCCTCTGCCACCCCAAGCCCCAGTCCCCCTCTCCTCTGTGCTTATTCTAAAAGCCCATCGCTTGGTGAATTCTAATTTCTATAGAAGCAAAATCTCCAGGACTCCGTGATCACTCTGAAGATGGTGCCAAGCTAAACTGGGCTCCCATGAGTCACTCAGGCATCCTGTACCACCCAAGAGATGCCAAGCACCCACGGCCCCGGCCGCGACCCAAGCACGACACACACACTTGCTTCTCTCTTCCCACAGATATATTTGATAATTGTCCAGAACCAGAGATGGCATCAGCCTGGAGGAGCAGGGCTGAGGAGTAAAAAAGAGCCCAGGGAGGGGGCTGGGGGGGAAGAGGAAGAGATGGGAGGAGGGAGAGAAACAGACACAGAAAAGAAAGGGGGAAGAGAGGCAGGGGCTGAGGTGGAGGGGAGGAGAAGCCAGCCAGAGGGAGGTAACGGAGAGGAGGGATGAGAGCCAAGGTGGGGGCCATGGGGAGAGAGGGCCCCTCCCCCCAGTATACAAAATGGGGGGACCAGAGGGGGACTGTCCTGGGCTTGGGGACAGGGAAGAGGCGGGTGATGTGGTGGGATTGAGGTCAGTAGTAGGTTTCCTTCTCCACCCAACCTGGAAAGATGAAGGAGAGAAAGACGGAGTGAGAGACGGGGGACAGGTATCCGGAGAGGTACAAGCTAGGGGCGGGGATACCCCGACAGTGACAAAGAGATCAAAAGGGACAGACACACTTGGAAGGACAGGAGGAGGAGGCCTTGACTGGAGGAGACAGAACTCAAAGGGAGAAGGGCAGGGAGAGACATCCGGGAGAGAAGGGGACGCAGGGGGACTGGGGCCAGGCCATCCACGCGTCTCCCCTTCCCAGCCTTTGGCCCAGCCCTCACCCCCGGGGTTCCTGCGCAGGATGAGTTTGCGGATTTCGTCGTAGACGAAGATGAGGAAACTGTAGGGGAAGGCACAGAACCACCAGCTGGGCCTGCAGAGGGGAGAAAGAGGCTCAGTGGGGACAGGAGACAGGGCCCCAGGGGCAGGAGGCGGGAAGTCTCCCAGCATCCTCTATGCCACACAGGGGTGCCTTTGCCCTGGATGTGGCCTCAGAGCTGGGGTGGCCAGAGACATAGGGAGAGGCTGAGGCCTGGGGCTGTCATGAGCTCAGCTTGTAACCCCCACTCCCCCCACAGCCAGGGAAGTTGCCATGGAGGGTGGGACACAGGAGCTGGGGACGCTAGAAGTATCCAGGCACTCACTTGAGAGGGTACATGCGGAGGGCCACGTCCATGCCGGGGCAGTAAGACAAGAAGGCAGCCAGGGCTGTCTCCTCAAATAAGCCAAAGATCAGGATCTTGTTCCTAGAGGCACAGACAAGGCAGAGCTGGGCCTGGGGGACCCCCATCCCTGGCACCCCCAGCCCGAGGCAAAGATGCCAGAGACACACAGAGATGGAGTGATGGTGACAAAAACAAGGGTCAGACACAGGAAGGCAGAAAGTCGTATAAAAAGATAAAGCAGCCAGGTATGGTGGGGCAAGCCTGTAATCCTAGCTATGGGAGGGGAGGGGAGGCATAGGGAGAAGGATCTTGGTTGGAGGCCAGCCCAGCAAAAGCGATCGAGACCCCCCACTCCCCTACCCTGTCGCACACATTAGCCTAGCATGGCGGCATACACCTGTCTCCTCAGCTCCTCAGGAGGTATAAATAGGAGGATCATGGTCTTAGGTCTGCCTCCACCCCATGCAGAGACAGACTGAAGGAATGAATCCAAGACACAAGAAATAAAATGGCTCAGAGCATGTGGGGAAAGACAAGGGCCCAGGCAGGCACTGTTAGGTCTCACTTCATGCCCTGCTGGAAGACGGAGTTCCTTCGGGTCTTGCAGATAATCAGATCAGCCCACTGGACAACCACGATGCTCACGAAGAAGGCTGTGTGGCACGTGAACTCCACCACCTTCCTCTGTTCATATG